CTCCGATCTCCCCAAAACCCCAAAACCCCATAAAACTGAATTATAAGTAAAATCATGATAATTTAATTAATCAAAATTAAAAAATATAAGGGAGTTTAGCAATTTTATAACACTAAGATAATTATATCATTCATCTAATAATTTATCAATTTTTAGACTTAGACTCTAGGTAATTTTAGATAAGAATCAGAAAGTTTCTGAAAGTGATGCCTTCTTTTTCTGTGCTATTATGCAAAGGCTTTCCTTCAATTTATCTTATCATTGATGTAATCAATATATCTTCAACTTATTCACGATCAAATAGTTTTCGAATGTTATCAAAAGTAATCAACTTTTCTTAATTAGGATCAATCATTACTAATACCTCTTTAAGGCAGTACTTACTAAATAAATCAGACTTGTTAATAAGAGCAGGGCAAACATCCAGAAATGTAACCTTACCATCTCTATTAGTATCAAGATTTTCAAATATCACGCTTATATCTTCTTTAATAAATTTAACTTCACTATCAGTCAATATCTACGACAACTCAGCCTTAGTGAAAAATCCCTGATTTTCAGGGTCAAATACCTAGAATAGTCTATAAGCACTAAGCTTTTTTTCTTTTTGAATAATGAAATTTCCAATATAATAAGAGAGGAATCGCATGAACTCACTTTCAAATTTATAATCTTTTAATCTCTTAAATGAATCTTTTATGACTGATTTTGTTATGGTTAATTTTGATTTTGGTGAATATTTTATCCAAGGATGCTCAAAAACTTAATCAAGCGTTAATCTCTTTTAAGGCTTAAGCTCTAAAGTCTTAAGTAAAAAATCAATAAGCTCATCAGAACAACCTATAAACATCTCATTATCTTTAATAGTTGGCCTTATATCATTATAGAGCATTTACTGTTATAAATCTTTTACATTATCTGCATAATAAGGTGGTATACCTGTGATCATATTATAAACCATAAAACCTAGTGCCCATACATCAACCTGAGGAGTAATTTCTACTTTGAAGTCTCTATGAGAAAAAAAGCTGTAGGTTAAAATTTCAGGTGCTAAATATAGTTGCCTGTTCGACAATGATGAAGTTCTTTGATGTTACTATCCTTTTATGATATATTCCAACTCCACATCTTTGAAATGTGTATTATTGATGCTCCAAGAGTCACTCAAGTTTAGTAGCCGAATATGATGCTTGCTAATAGCATTATCAATGGCTAAATCCTAAGGATTCAAGCATCCAATAACTACTTTAAGTTCGTTATGACAGTATCTAATTGTCTAAAGGATCTTTTTAGCAATTTGAAGTGCATCGGCTTCCTCAATTATACCCTTTCTAATAATGTAATTAAATAGGCTATCTCCTTCATAATAATCCTAAATTACATAGAGATGATCTCTCTGTAGTTCATCTTCGTAAGTAACAAATCCCTTACTTTCAAAAAAAGTTTTTTCTGTCTCAAAAATATTTTCAATCTGGGCAATATTTATATGATCAGCTTTGCATAAAACCTTAATTGGCTATTTCAGTTTTTCATAGAGATCAGGGTCTAAATCTTAATCTATATCCATTCTTCTATAAATTTTAACTGCTTTCTTGGCTGAATTCGAATAACTTTATACGATCCTTACATCCGCATACTTGCTCTGTGATTGAACATTCTTGAATGAAAGATTGAAATCATAAAATGCTCTAGGATTTTGATTGATTTTAAATCTTTGGATTGTGCTTGGGCAATATTTTATTCTTAAGTGATTCGGTATATGAAATTGCTTTATACTTAATAAAAGATCTTTGACTGTAGTGGAGTAATTTCCATCAAGCTAAAGTGCTTCAGTTGGGTGTTTGCTATCATTTAGTGTCTTTCTATACTTTTGCAATTGGATCAACTAAGTATATGTATCAGGCATATATTCTGGATCTATTTCAAGTGTAGTTGCTGCAGTAGTATCTGAATTAATAGTGTTATCATCATCTTCATCTGAATTTTTAAGATTTTTTGTTTGCATTTTTTTAAACTAAGATAATTAATTATCTGAATCAATCTAGACTTGCGGGGTTTTGGGGTTTTGGGGTTTTGGGG